CAGCTTTTAAATCGAGTAGATAAAACTAAATATGATTCTGCTACCAAGCTACAAACTGAAAGATGTCCTTTAGCTTTATTTCCCTTTGGGGGGATCAGGGGACTTGGGTGCTGGGAATGGAGCACCCAAGATGTGCGCTGTGACTGAGCTACATCCCCCAGCTCCCTCCTCCCCCTTTATTTTGGAGACAAGGCCTCACTAAATTTCGGGGGAGGGACTCACTTTCACTGATCCTGCCTCAGCCTCCCAGGGTGCTGGGATTACAGGCATGCAGCACGTACTCAGCTACTCTTTAGCTTTCCTAGGTATAAATCTGACAGTATCCCTAGAACAGAACTGAGCCAAGACCTTTAAAGTAGACTGTGCGGAAGAACAAAAGCATCCAGAGCCTTCTTCCAAGTGAGAAAAAGGAGTCATGTAGGAATTGAAGCTTTCTTCCCTGCTCTTTATTTTTGGAGAAGCGCCAAAAGAGGCAAATTGCAATGGAGACAAATTACCATCCTTGTGCTAATCATTGCCATAGTAAGTACCTGGGTGTTGACGCCCTGGTGGCAGAGTGACAGGGTGGTGCGAGTAACAAGTCCACACCTTCAGACAGTGGACAGCCCCTAGCCAGTCTCTTAAACCCCAGCCCGTTTGTTTTCCATCCAGCACAACCTGAGTTCACTAAAGTAATGGGGTCCAATTGCTGCAGTTTGCTAAGGGCCTACAGGAGGTTACAGATCATAAACCATGGCGCCCTTTTTGGTGTCACTTCACAGAGAAACAAAGCGTCAAATGGGAAACCCTTCAGTCTCCAGCCACCAGAACCGTAAGCCCTGCCCACCCGTCCTGGCTCCCTTCTCCTGTCCAAGGCCCCGTCCCTTCCCCCTGACCAGACATCCTGCATTGCCAGTTGTCCATTCTCTCCTGGTCCATCTCAGCCGGCTCTGCCGTGCCTTTTACTGTGTCCAGGGTCCCATTGCAGAAGACGGAGAAAAACAAATCTCCCTCGACCCCACCTTCCCCTGCAGGTTTGGTCACTGTCCTATCCCCGATGCCCTGGGACACACCAGCTTTTTAAAGAACTCCCGTATTCGGTTCCTCTATCCCGTATCCCTCATTCATCCACCCCCAGTCTCAACTCTATCTAAAGCAGAAACCACCGCTCGGACGTTCCCAGGCCCCAGCTTCGTCCCTCCAGTGTGGCCTTTTCTCAGCTGGACCCATATATCCAGCTAGCTGAGTGGCACTGCTTCTCAGTGTCACCCAGACACTTCCAGCTCAACATGCACGAGACAGCGTCCCCCCAGCCAGTCCCACCAGGCTGCTCTGCCATCTAGGGTTCCTGACTCCTCGCCTCATGCCAACATCCGGTGCATCTGCCAGCTCTGGGGGTGTTGTCTCCTGAGTGTCCTCCCCAGGTTGTCAATGTCACGACCTTAGTCCGAGCCTCGTGTTAGTCAGCTTTGCATGACCATTATAGCAAACTGTTATAATCAAAGTAGAGAGAAGTGTTATTCCGGCCCAGAATTTTGGAGAGTTCAGTCCAAGGCTGTTTGACTCTGTTACTTTTGGGCCTGTGGCCAGGCTGCACGTGAGGGTGGGGACTTCAGGCCGGGAACTGAAAGAGAAAACACCAAAGTCCCACAATCCCCTTTTAGGCCCAGAGACCTAAACTCCTCCCACTAGCCCCACCTCTTAAAGGTTCTACCACCTCCCCACAGCCATAGGCTGGGGCCCCTGGGCCTTGTGGACCTAGATCCACCTAGCACACCTCATTCAGCTGTCTGCAACCACAGGCCCTTGCCACGGCTTCCGCCACATGAGCCTCCTCCACCCTGTGTCTGCCATGATTTTCCTCCTATCCCTTGTCCTCTCCTTCCTGTCCAGGACTGCTGACCTGCCCATCTTTACTCCCAGCACCTCCACAGGGGTGGCTTCCCTAGGGGCTGCCAGTCCAGTTCCAAACACTGGGATCAGTCACTGTTGTGAGGAGCATATCACTGACAGAGAAGCTCCTCCAAAACAGGAAGCTTTATGTTGCTCATCATTATTCCCCTACACCTCACAGTTCCTGGACACGGTAAAGCACTCAAACATGTGTTGAAAGAATGAATGAAAGGAACATCTAATGTGTAACACATAATAGATGTCAGGTATTTTAGCACAATTTTACTGAAATAGAATGAAAGTTCTAGTAAAAAGAAATGAGGTAAACACTGAAAACAATTTTTAAGTGTGGCAGGAAGCTAAAAATAGGTCTCTTTATCCTGATTTGATGTCCTTCCTAGAACCTGTGTTAAAATTTTCATTTACCAAAAAAAAAAAGTTTTCATTTACCAAAAACAGGGCGTTGCACTTGCCACCACGTGGTGGCAGTAGAGAGACACAGCTCCTTAATGTAAAGGGGCTGCCTTAGGGTGTCAGTCTGCTAACAAATTCAAGCTTACTGTCAAAAATAAGTAAAATGCCTCGCAAGCACAAGGTCCTGAGTTCTATCCCCCGTACCAAAAAAAAAAAAAAAGTAAAATGTATAAATCGTTAAATGACCAAAACTCACATAGCTAGTCCAGAATCATCTAAAGGTTGAATGTGACACATTTTCACCTTATCGAATAAAGCTTGAAATTTCTGGTATAGACCGATTGATTGAGGCACTTGTGGGTTTTGTGCTGGACTGGCCCTTAGACGTCACTGAGAAACCAGCTAATTTCTTGTCTGACTCAGTTCAGAGTCGGCAAAGTGGGAACAGAACTCCGATATCTTGCCTCACAACCTCTCTTCTTTCATAACCATCTGCCTCTCTTCTTAGTGTTAATTATTCTCGCTGTCAGTATTGAGGGTGACCAAATTTCTGCATCAGAAGATGGGGACCCATAGTCTTCAAAGTGCCTTAAATGTTTGGAATAGTATTTTTGCAGGTGCTCAGGCACTGTTCATCTTGCCTGCCTAACACCACGTTTACAAGCTAAGGGAAGAGCGTTTCCATTCCTCTCACCTGCTTAACTCTGAGCCCAGGAGCTCATGCTTTTAAGGGGCTCTGGCTGATGTTTCCTCCGGACCACATTCGCAGACACACCCATGTCCGCCTGAGCCCCACTGCTGGCGACAGGGCCTTGACTCCCTGTTCCAGCCAGTGTCGACCAGGTTTCCCCAAAGTCCCCTGTCTTGTCTTTGTGTTCCATTAGTATTTTGAGAAGAGATAGTCTGATAACATTGGCAAAGCCTGCTCCTGATCAGCTTACACTCCCTGATGGTTAGCGTCCATTGACAACTCCTACCTTTCTCAACTTCCTCTGTGGAAGTTGTTTATTCCTTATTGTATTTCCACCACTCTCATACGTTTATTGGTAGTTGCTCTAGCATGAGAAAGAATTTTCTCTTTGCTCTCATTTATGCATTTATATCAGTACGGACTCATGGATTTCTGCTTTATTCAGTGAGTCAGACTCCTCTCTTTCATCCACATTTAGTGTGACACTCAAGTTGTCCTAGATTTGCCCAGCGAGAGCTCCTTCAGGGTGTCTCCCGTGGCCTCTGATGCCCACCCAGCCATGTACTGTGCAGCCCCAGGCTTGCCCACCCATCTCACCTTCCAAGGGGCCCTGATCCCTTGCTGTGGAGAATGGTATTTAGGGCCAAATGGGGCGGAGTGTTCACTGTCACTAAAGTGTCAGCATTCCAGAAAGCAGGGTTGAGGGAAACACACACACGCGCATGACCTAGATATGCTCATGTATCCATGAGTGCAGATATCTGTGTCTGTGTGTACATTAACCCAGTCTGTCCAGGGCTAATACAGTACCCTGAGGTTCTTTTCTTCTTCCCCTTTCTATGTAAGTAAAATCCTTTCAGGCAGTAAGAAGCTCAACTCCCATGATTCTAAATATATTTACTTGTTTCTTCCATTAACTTCATTTCCTCTGTGTAATTTCTCAGCTTTGCCAACTGTGTGACACTTTTTTGTCACCATTATTTTCCCCTGCCTCCAGCCTCCAGGTACCTTCCACCATTGCCTCCTGCTCTGGGGAGAGGGAGAGAGACAGAGACAGAGAGATTTTAACTTCTTTCATTGAGACCAGTGATGAGAGCAGGGGATTTAGCTCAGTGGCACTGTACCTGCCTTGCAAACACAAGGTCCTGAGTTCCACCCCCAGTACCAGAAAAAGACAAACAAGAAACAAAACCTTTTAAAGCCCAGACCAGTGATGGCGAACCTTTTAGAGACCGGGTACCCAACTTGCTACCCAAACCCGACTTATTAATCACAAAGTGCCAACACTGCAATTAAACCTGAATACTGGGATTTTTGTTTAGAAAAAGCAAGTCTACATTAACACCTTTTGTCTTAAAAGAAAAACTCAATAACATGTGCCACGGGTTCACTGCCACTGATAGACACTGGTTGGAAATCAGTGGATCTTAGAGATCGTTCCATGTATTTGTCCACACATATAGAAATATGCCTCACTCTTGTATTTCTAAAACAATGAGTATCACTTAGTATTATTAGTCAATTACGATGTGTCTCATCTGATTCTGTAACTTCTACTACGCTGAGGATGAAACACGGACTCTGATTGTTTTGACCTGCATTTCACTGTAAGCTTGAGCCTCTCATTTTTCTTGGTTGTCTGCAGATCTGCAATTGCCTTCGTTGAATTAATGGGTCATTTTAAGAGATTTGTAAGGCTGGGGTTGTGGCTCAGTGGCACCGAGCCTCCCTGGCAAGTGCAAGGTCCTGAGTTCGATCCCTGGCACCAAAAGAAAACAAAAAAAGATAATGTTTTTTGTTTGTTATATAGAGATTTTCCCTTTTTTTTGGTACTGGGGATTGAACTCGGGTCCTTGCGCTTGCGAGGCAGGAGGTGGAGCCACTGAGCTAAATCCCTGGACTGAGATTTTACATTTTTATGCAGTCCTCTTTGTCAATTTGTTATGGTCCTGGCCTTTATGTCTTACCACATTTTATATTTTCCTTTAAGATGTTTTTATTGGGGCCAGGGATTTAGCTCAGTGGTTTCGCCGCCTGCTGCACAAGAGCAAGGACCCGAGTTCGATCCCCGGTACCAAAAGAAAAAAAAAAAGATGTTTTTATTAACATATACATCTTTAATCTACATAATAATATTTTCAATTTCCATTTGGAGTCTAGTCTGTGGTTTCTGCTTTTGTTTCTGAATCTATTTCATTATCGGTCTGTTTTAATGACTATAGCTTTATATCTCAGTATCTGATAAAGCCAATCCTATTTAATCATTCTTTTTCAAGTTCCTTTGTACTCTCCCATATTCATTTTTCAATATAAAAAAGTGTGAAAGGGAACAGGAATTGTTAAGAATGGATGAGAAGCCAGATGTGGGGGTCCACACCTGTAATACCAGCTATTCCGGAGGCTGAGGCAGGAATATTGAGCATTTGAGACCAGCATGGGCAATTTAGTGAGATCCTGTTTCGAAACAAACAATAAAAAGCACTGGGAATATAGCTGTGTGGTGGATGCTCCCTTAGCATGTGAGGCCCTAGGTTCGATCCACAGTACTAAAAAATCTGGGTAAGTAAAGAAGGAAAACTTGTGTGTTAAGCTGTTATTGCCTATGAGGCAGGGTGGGGTAATACAATATGTACTTAACCACAGAATAATTCAGGGTGGGAAACACAGTTGTTACCATTGGAACTGAACTGTCCATTTGAGTTCCTTAGAACTTCACTACAGAATACAGTGCTTACATTTAAGAATGAGGATTTTCAGTTGTGATAATAGCCAAGAATCAGGTAAGTCCAGAGACCAATTGTGAGGCCAGAAGAAAAACTTTCAGCCAATGATCAGTGCTTGGAAAATAAGATCTAGCCTGGTGTGGTGCACACACACGGGAGGCTGAGGCAGGAGGATCACCATGAGTTCATGGCCAGCCTGGGCTGCACAGTTAGTTCAAGACCAGCCTGGACTACACAGTGAGACCCTGTCTCAAAAAAAAAAAAAAGATCCAGTAGCCAGCGGCAGGACCACTGAGGTCTTCCACTGGTTATTTTTTGTTGCTTACAGATAAGTAAGATGTACTCCACAATGTTTATTCAGCTCTGCGCTGGAAAGAAAGAACAGGCAGGGAACCACTGGATCTTTTGCTCTGCCTACTGTATTGGGGGGGGGGGGTTGTAGCAGGGACAGAACTTGGGACCTTGTGCTTGCGAGGCAGGCACCTGAACCACTGAGCTAAATCCCTGGCCCCTGCCTACTGTATTTTAAAAGCACCACTTTGTATGACCCCTTCAAATTGTATTTCAGCATCTCTGTTGGGGAATCCAAGAATTTCCCAGTTAACCGCCTGTGGCTGACAGAGGAAAAGCCTAGGGTGTGAAGTGTGCAGCAATCCGTCGTGCAGAGGGCCATGTGCAGTGTAAATTAACACCCCTTCACGAATTCTGCACTTGTGTAAATGTTTCTCTGCGAGATGGTAACATTTTCCTTTTGCAATATCATTTTAGGTCTTTTGAAATATATTCTTTCCTTAACAAGGGACCAAAATATGTCAAAAAACACCACCCTGGAAACTTCATAAACACTGCAGTGCGAAGGACCTGTGCCCAGAACATAGTTTCTCTGCAGGCGTCTTAGAGAAGCTGGATAAACAGCAGGTATGAAAGAACCCATTTGAAAACATTTCAGCATAAGCTATTTTTTGTTTGCCTAATTATAAAAGCAGGAGTGAAGACAACTGAGTGTAGTATTTTAAAGATATTCACCTTAGTCTACAACATCCTTATTTCTTATTCTATAATTAGGTGAACATGCTGGCGCATGCCTGTGATCCTAGCACTCAGGAGGCTGAGGCAGGAGGATCACCACAAGTTCAAGGCCAGCCTGGGCTACATAGTGAGTTCAGGGCCAACTTGAACTACAGAGCAAGACCCTGTCTGAAAAAAAAAAAATAGGTGAACACAATATAGAGTTTATTGTTCTTGTTGCATTTCAGGAAAACACACAATCAACCAGTCCTATTTTTCCATTAGAACAGTGTTTATTATCATGGATCATGTTCCTCATAACAACAATGAAATAACTACGAACTCTGTAATGATGGAGACATAATAAAATTATGGCACCTTGGCACTATAGTGCATAAAATAGGCATCTTCACTCTGTCAATGCTGATTGTTCAAATTATAAACGCTGCCAAAATGAATCTATAAACTGTAAACTACCATAAATTCGATACAGTAAAAACTAGTGGGCTAACTACAGGAGACATTGATTAAATAATTACTGGCTGCTTATTTTAAGGTCTTGAAGACAGAAGCTTGCCTTCATAACCCAGTACCTAGCAGACACTAAATGTTCTTTGACTGGGCCTCTGAATTAATTAATTAATTAATGAAGAACATTATGTGGTTGGCCCAAGGCCTACATTTTTCCAATATGTCCCACATCATCAGAAATCCATATAAGTGAAGATTGCATATATATTTTTTTCTGGTACTGGGGATCAAACTCAGGACCTTACCCTTGCCAGGCAGGCACAGAACCACCGAGCCACATCCCCAGCCATATATTTTTATTAATAAAGCAAAATGTGCCCTATTTATGCTAACACAGAGACACTAAAGCAGCTGAGTCGACCTAAAAGTGCAGTGGCAGGCCTGTTACTGGTCACCAGCCAGGTTTAGTAGGTAAGTGAGAAGGTAGATACATCACAGACTGAATCTTCCACTTGGCCTACACATTCAGGGGACAGCTCCCTGCCGGTGGTGGTGACAGCCAAGAACCAAACTTGGTTTTACTTTAGTTTGCCTTGCTGATAATGTGTCTCAGACTCAGTTTCCTGAAAACGATGGAAACTGCCACATGCCAGGTGAACCTGAGTAGACCCATATTCAGGTCATATAGGTAGAAATTATAGGACAGTTCTGGCATCCTACTGCAGGAATTCCAGAATCCTAAGAATGTTCCATTTCTTTGGTGGATGTAATATTTATGTTAAGTTCAAGTTCAGATGCTCCTCAAGTTACAGTGGAATTAGGTTCCAATAAACCCACTGTCACAAAATACATTTAATACTCTTAACCTACAGAACGTCCTGGCTGACCCTTGCCTACCTAAACATGCTCAGAACACTTACGTTAGCCCGCAGCTGGGCAATGTGACAGTGAAGCTTAAATTTCGACTTGACTGGATAAGAAACTGCTGGAACCAGGCACTGTGGCACACACCTATAATCCCAGCACTCTGGGAGGCCAAAGCAGGAGGATAGAAAGTTCCTGCCCAGTCTGGGCAACTTAGCAACTTATCGAGACCCTGTCTCAAAATAAAAAATAAAATTAAAAAAAAGGATAATGATGTACCTCAACTCTGAAACCCTGGGTTCAATTCCCAGTACTGCAAAAAGGAGAGGAGCCAGGCATGTAGCTCAGTGGCACCGCGCTCACCTGGCAAGTGCAAGGTCATGAGTTCAATTATTCCCAGTGCTGTAAAAAATGAGACCGAGAGCCAGGGATTTAGCTCAGTGGTTTCGCCGCCGGCTGCGCAAGCACAAGGACCGGAGTTGGATCCCCGGTACCAAAAAAAACAAGAGCGAGAGAGAGGAGAGGGAGCTTGCTGGTGCTTTCCCCTTCCCCTTCCCCTGTGTGCTGCTTTCTGGTCCCCATGAAGTAAGCAGCTGTGCTCCACAACATCCATCCGCCATGATGTTCCTGCCTTGGAACTAGATGACCATGGACTGAAACCTCTGAAACCATGAGCCAAATAAACCATTTCTTCCTCTAAGTTGCATACATCAGGCATTTTGTCCTGCAGCAGGAAAGCTGACCAATACAGGCAAAATCATCTAACACAAAGCCTACTTTATAATAAAGGTTTGAATAAAGATTTAGGGAATACTTGTATCAGAAAAAGAAACCCACTGGTGACACTGTACACTCTAGGATATCTTTTGCTTATGCCATGATTGCTTGGCTGACTGGGAGCTGCCACTGGCTGCCTGGTGTAAGGGTGTTGAGTCATACTGCATATCGCTAGCCAAAAAAAAGATGGAAATTCAAAATCCAGTTTATGCTGAATTTTACATCTTATACACACCATTCTAAAGCCAAAAGATTGCAAGTTGAACCATTGGAGGTCAGTGACCGGTCATAATTCTTCAGGAAACTGAACCACCCTACTGAGATCCATCAGAGTTTATCATTTATGCCTGCATAATAATTACCCTCAAAACTGAACAGCTTAAAACAAAGTGAGCCTGGTGTGGTGGAACATGCTTGTGGTCCCAGCACTCTGGGAGGCTGAGGCAGGAAGATCATAAGTTAAAGTTCACCCTGGGCAACTTAGCAAGTTAGTGAGACCTTGTCTCAAAAAATTAAAAAAGGGCTGGGGATGTAGTGCAGTGCAAAGGCCCAGGGTTCAATTCCCAGTACTACACACCCAAAAAGGAAAAAGAAAGAAGAAAGAAAGAAAGAAAGAAAGAAAGAAAGAAAGAAAGAAAGAAAGAAAGAAAGAGCCAATCCTCAAAAAGGTACTTTGATAGGTTCATGATTTGATTACAATCAATGGATTGGAGATAGAGAAAACATGGCATTATATTTATTTCAAAATTAAGTAAACATCCTAGAATGCACCTGTTAACCTAAATGAGTTAAGTTATTTGTTTACCATAAAACCCTACTTCTTCCATTTTTCTCTGCAAGGCCACTGTGGCCTCTGTGACCTCCTGGGGCCAACTCAGCTCGCACAGAAGTCCCTCTCTCGTGTTGTCACATGCGCGTTCCCTGCTGGACAGCGGCATGACCCTTTATTAGACCATGGGCCTCAGGCACTAAGGGTCCTTGGTCGGGATGTCTCTGAAGGCAGCAACCAAGGCTCAGTTGATTGCAGCTGCCTCAGGACCACCTGGTGCAGCATCTGCACTTCCCAGCCCAGTCAGGCAGTTGCGGCAGGGTTGTATCCTCATGGCTGTCAGACCCCGGACTCCATCCCCTGTGACTGTCAGCTGGGGGCCTCTGCTTTCTGCCCTGTGAGCCTCTCCATAGACCACTTCCAGCCTGGTGGTGGCTTCCATCAGTGTGAGCAAATGAGAGGAAAAAGAAGTCACAGTAATTCATCTCAGACAGGACATCTGCGTCACCTGGGAGTCAGGCTCACTGAGAAGTGGCCTCCCACACTCAGGGTGCATCCCGTCAGCAGCCCTAGAGGGACAAAGCCCGTGTGACCTCTGCTTTCCTCTTCATCCCTGGGACATGGGGCTGCTCCAGTCCTGCAGGAAGGAAAGCGACTGCACGTGGGAAGAGCCACTTGTTTGCTTCCTCAGCTGAGCAGGTCCTCAGTGACCCTGGATGGCACCGACGACAGGGAGGTGCACATCTGCCTCTTGGTACAGCAGCTCAGCAGCAGCCACTGGACAGCAGTGGCTCAGGCCCTGGGCTCCTGCCTGCCAAACCAGACCCAGTTCAATACGTTTCTCATCAGCGGCAACTTGAAGGAAAAGGAAGCCCTTTGAACCAATCAGAACAGCCAATCTCTACTGACCTAACTAGGAACTTAGCAACTGAATAGTCCGGATAAGACAGCTCTGTAACTGTACTCAGTCTTTTCCCTTTTCTGTTTCCTCGTTCATCTTATAAAAGCCTGCTCTTAAGAACTGCAGAACCCAGAACTTGAACCACAGTGGGTGCTGCCTGATTCATGATTGGTGTTCGCACAAATAAACTCAAGCCTTTAACACACCTGGTTTGATGTTTAACACTCTTGGCAGCCAGTTCAGTGGCCTTCTAGTCTTCAGACGGTGCCTCACCACCCCTGCCTGATCTTGCACAGCCCTAGGGGCCCGGGGCTCCTACAGAAGATGCAGGTGCAGACCCTGAAGTCCCTTCGGTCTGCTGTCCTTGTCGCTCCATCTCATGCTGTGCACTGGGGTAAGACAGAGCGTTCCAACTGGACATTCCCTAGGTGCCCCAAAGGACTTCCCCCTCTCTCTCCCCCCACTTTCCCCTTACCTCCATTGATAAATACAGATAGACAGGAACATCCTCCACTATATAGGACATGTATGAAGAAGGAAAGCCTGGATGCTCTGCTCCCAAGACCAAACCAGGACAAGGACATCCACTCTCAGCACCACTTCTGTGCAGCACTGTCCTGGACATTCTGGCCAATGCAGTTGGGCAAGAAAAAGAAAGAAAAGAATCCATGTTTAAAAGAGAATTAATCTCTATTCACAAATTACAAGATCATTCAGGTAGCAAGTCTGATGGAATCTACAAAAGACCAACATCTAATAAGTGAATTTAGCATGGTTGCAGGATACAAGATCAATGTGCAAATGTCAATTGTAACTCTGTAAACAAGCAGCAATCAGAAATTGAAATTAAAATACCATTCACAGTAACAATACTGTTTGCCAACAAAATATAGGAAATACAATGGCACCTCACTTCACGAACTTAATTTGTTTCATAATTCTGGTCTTGAACTGAACCGATCATGAACAGAATCAAACTTTTCTGTAAGGTTTAAAAGATTTAATGTCACCCAATGTGGAGTTTGCAAATGGAAGCAAAATTACACAGACCACTTTTGTTTGCAAACCAAGTTGTTTGTGGAAGGAAGGTTCGTGAGCTGAGATATTACTGTACTCAAGGATAAATTTGACAAAAGTTGTAAAGGACTAATACACTGAAAACTGCAAACATTTTCTGCATCCCAAAGGCTTAAGAATTAGCCAGTGTGCTGTGTGCAGTTTGGCAAATGAGTGAGAAAAGCAGTGACCCTGGAACTGGAAAGCGAGGACAGCCCCTTAGCCTTTGTGCCACCCCAGCCTCTGCCCTCTGGGCCAAGGATCCACCAATGTGTACACTGTTTGCACAACTTACCTGTGCTAGTTGTCAGTATTAAGCATAATGCTGAATTGCTAATAAGAGGGCTTCGGCTAGAACAATTACTGGCAGGAGGTGATGAGCTGTGTAATGTATTTCATAGCACGGGGGAGGCTGGAGAGTTGGGAAGATGTATTGGAAGCTGTGCAAACTCCCAATCACCTGACCAAGGATACGGTCCAGGATAACAAAAGACGAGGCAAGATCTTCATTGCGTCAGTGGGCCTAGCATGGTCAAGCTGTTATCAGGCTGAGACGCTGTCTCCTGGAGCTGGCCACTGTTTATTGAACTCCGCTACTTGGAGGGGTGAGGGGCGGTGCCAGGAACAGCTCAGAGGGCAGCACTGATGCGAGCAGGGTCCTAGCAACAAGGGCACAAGACATTCTAGCAGGAGCAGCTCACTGATTAATGGGAAATCTGTTTCTTCCCGTGGATGAACTTCTGCCTCTGTAGTTTTCTGTGCGAGCCATGCTGCCCTTAGCCGCACTGTTGTCTTGCCATCCAAGACGTCACAGGGTCACGAATCATGGAGACCTCTGCTGTGACCAGTGGTGTGGGGAGGTGCTCCTGTCCCTCACACCAACTGCTGGCTCTTCAGGCAGCCACTGTGGGCTAATAGGACATTCAGACTTTTAATATGAAAAGCCAACTTGTGAATTTGTAGATTGCTCAGGGTGATCTCCATCCCAGATGCAGCCAGAAACCAATTGAGGGAAATCAAGTCTCCCAGTGGACAGACAGAGAGTAGACCCTGTTGGGAAGGGTCTGATACAACTAATTCTTCTTTTCCTTTCTTGGTAAAATAAGAGAATTGAGAATTAAATGAAAAAATAACCCTCTACAATCCACCAGCTGGAGATGGGTTTGCTTCAATCTGCTATGGAAGCAGGCTACCATGAAAGAGACTTTAGTGTGCTCTAACACAGCAGCATCATGAAGAGATGCCAAACCCTCTGCTTTTTAACTAATTTTATTAAGAATATGTATTTGTGCTCTTTCTCTCTCACTCTCTCACTCTCACTCTCACTCTTGCTCTTCTGTCTTGCTACTTAGTTCAGCCTGGCCTTGAACTCACTATGCAGCCCAGGCTGGCCTCAAACTCCAACCTATCCTCCTGTCTCAGCTTCCTGGGTGCTGGGATTACAGTATGTGCCACCATGCCTGCCTTGGGATCCTTCTTGTATGTGACTTCCTGTTCCTTCTATTTTAAATTCCCACTTCAGACAGCTAAGAGGGCTTATGGAAAGTACCAGAAGTTGGTGTCCTTCGGAATCTATTTCTAAATTATCAAGGACAAGGGCTCTGCTGTTTAGCTGTCTTGAGCTATCTCAGAGATACAAAGAGTGATCAAAATACATGGCAAATGTTTAAATTTTTTTAATTTTTATTACATCAAAAGGCACATTGCCTTGTATCCCCCTCAAAATATTCTCCCTTGCTTCAAACACACACATTCTATCATTCTTAGCACTTTTTTTTTTTTTGTACCAGGGATCGAACACAGGACCTTGTGCTTGCAAGGCAGGCGTGGTGTCACTGAACTAAATCCCTGGCCCATTCTTGTCACTTTCTACACAGTTCCTGAAGTCCTCTTTCCTGGATGTCTTTATGAGGTGTGATAAAAAATAAAGTGAATCCTGCTGCTGAGCACCATTTCACAGAAAGGCAGCTCGTAAAAACATGATGCTGTGTCCTCATCCACCTTATTCACCGGACCTGGTGCCATGTGACTTCCGGCTCTTCCCCAAAGTCAAAATGACCATGACAGGGAAACGTTTTGAATCTATTCAGGACATTGAGGCAGCCAGGACAGCGCAACTACAGACACTTGGGCAAAAGGACTCCAGAGATGCTGCAGGAAGTGGCAAGGACGGCCGGGGATGTTGGAAGTGTAAATGGGAGGGTTTTGAAGGGGATTCATGACAATGTGTCTTTTACTGTAATCAATTTTTAAAATTTTTACCACTCACTGTATTTATCAATGACACCATATAACTGTCCTATGAAACTTTGGGGTTCAAGGGATGTATCTACCAGCCAGTTATCATGCTCTCTACCAAGACACCCTCAGATCAAATGAGAAGCCAAGTCGACAACTGCAGACCCAGCAGGTCACCTATAGGAGAGTCTGTGTGGAACAAACAGAAAAGACATTGTCATTTAGTCTTGCTCACCACACTGATTATGTAGTTTAGCCAGTACTTAATACTACTGTCTAAGCCCAATATCAAGAAATCGCTTTTAAATAAAGTAGAAGTAAAATACAGCATTTTTTCACTGAGTTTAAGATCCTAGGGAGAAAAAACTGGGGAGTTGTTTTAGCCAATGGGACTATGAAGCAGCCAGTGAGAGCTGCTTTGAGGACTAATTCGAGCTAAAACATTCCTGATTTATAAATAACTGTTGTATTTAAATTGCTTTAAATTGTACTTAACTTGAAGCAAATGAATTAAAGAAGTAGGAGGCTGCATGGGTCTTAATTAAGTTAGATTTTCAGGCAGGCTTTGGTTTCAAGAACCGTCAATTATGTGCTATCCTATGTTCCTGATTAGAAACTGGGATCACACCATCGAATTTTATTTTCATTTTAGCTGCTAAACATATTTCTTTGAAGTCCACTTTGCTATGACTCAGCCCCCAAATACAACTTTGATTTTTCACCTTGATATTTAAATCTATAATATTAGACAAAAGCTTTGTTTTGATTTTTGCAAACCTAATATTTATAAAAGTTTGGTTTTAGTGTGGCTGAAAGTATGGCCATTTATTTTTTTCTTTTTGGTACCGGGGATGGAACTCGGGTCCTTGAACTTGCAAGGCAGGCAGCGGCACCACTGAGCTAAATCCCCGGCCCCTTGGTCATTTATTTCTTAAAGAAATGTCATTTTCCATGTGGCAGATTTCCTTCACGGAAGATGAGCTGCGCAGGAACATCCGCATTATGCTCAGAATCACTCCTCGGTCAACTAGTGATATATAATCAACAGGAACCCATTATCTCTTTTGGTTTTAGAATACTAGCTCTTTAAAACTAGATCACTTATATTGTATTCTGTGTCTGACCTCAAAAGTATGTGATTTCATCCTTAGGAAATGAAAGTGCACATCTCCAAATATATACATGGAGTCAAAATATCCCAAGGAACAATAGGCCTTTAGAAATGAAAATGTAATTCGCTAATTCATACATTGTTGCAGTGTTGCAGTTCAATATAATTTTTCCTTGAGATAGGGTCTCCCTATGTAGCCCAGGCTGGCCTTGGACTCACAGTGATCCTCCTGCCTCAGCCTTCCAAGAGCTAGGATCACTGGTGTGTACCTGTTTTTTTAACTTGCTTTTACCAAAGTTTGGTCTCAGAGGTCTTATATTTCATGTAGAAATAATATGAAAACCAAACTGAAATTCTTCCAGAAAATGCTTCAAGATAATGTGTGGTTTCACCTTCCTAATTCTCTGTTATAGTTAAAGAAAATTTAAACAGCAAAGGTTCGTCGTAATGTCAGGAGCTGGAAACTCAAAAATACTTTCACAGTAGAAAACAGGGCAATGGATCTTTTGCATTTGGGAAGGGGCCCAAGAGATGACGGAGAGGAGCGAGGAGAGGAAAGGGGAGGTAAAAAGAAAGAAGCTGCGTTAAGTGCGTGCAGCAACTCCCCACAGCAATGCGATCATTATGTCCTGTAAACATGAACTAAACATTTTTTTAAAGTAAACATGAACTCCTTTAAAAATACTTTTTGGGGAGTTTTTTGTTGGGTTGGTTGGGGGTTTTATTGGGAGGACTTGTTTGGTTGATTGGTTGGTTGGCTGGTTTGAGACAAGGTCTTGCTATGTGGTGCAGGCTGGCCTTGAACTCACTGTGTACCCCAGGCAGTCCTCCTGCCTCAGCCTCCTGAGGGCTGGGATCAGAGGCGTGCGCCACCACACCTAGCTAAAAATACTTCTCTTTCATTAGGTTCCTTGCTATGTCCCTGGCTGATACAACAAAACCCCACACGGATGAGCCCTTCCCCGCCGTGGTCCTGGAGACTGACGGCCAGCCCACCAGCAGCAGGCCGTCCAGCGGCAGCATGGACCTCAGCCAGTCCCAGTGCTCCTGCGGGAGCCTGCACTCTAACTGCGACTACTCAGAGGACTTCATCTCCCTGTGCTTCGACCCAGCCACCAACAGGAACTGTGTGGAGCAGCCGGAGGTGAAAGAGAAGAAAAAGTACACTGCGCCCAAACTCGCCCAGCCTAAGGGTAAGAAGCAAAATGTCCCAGCCGAAGCGCAATTCCTCAGACCATGAGGCTGTTATTTAATTTGAGGCGGTCTGTGTTTGGCTTTACTGATCTTCCACATTGCAGATGAGTATTGTAAGTGAACTTGCATTGGGGGAATTAGGAGACAGAGAATTGAAGACAAATACAAAATAACAGGGAGACTTGCAGTGGAGAGGCAGGTCCTCGCAGGGCCCCTTTGCAGTGAGCAGGTGGCTGCCTCACAGGGTGGCCAGGGCCTGGAGCCCGCTGGCCTCTTGCCTCTCATCTCAGCTGAGGAACCCGGACTTGAGGTGCTGGTGAAACTCGAATGCCTGCCTCGACTGCCCACGGGGATGGTCTTCCAGTCCAGGGAGGCACGAGGCCGAGAGGGTTCAAAAGGCTGTCGGTGATGTTGCTTCCTTGTGGATCATTCAGAAGTCCCCAACTCTGCAGCTCCACCATCCAGAGCGGCCTCTGCCCCAGACGCCCCAACTGCCCTCCCGCTCCCACCCAGCCGGAGCCCTCTCCAGCCCGGCAGCAGCTGGAACTTGTGGAGAGCCTGCTCTCTTAGGGCCGACCCCTGGCACATTACCCAGTGGCTTTGTCCCTGTGCCAGGCGCCCCGGGGCCCTCTGTGTCTCTGCATGCCACTGCAGGGACATCTAGACTCCATTCCCCTGCTCCTCACCTACGGGGCAGGCTTCTTCTAGGACAAGGAAGTGTCTGTGACCCCATGACATTTTATATATTTTTTATTTACTTCATATTATTTGGTTTTTGGGGTTTGGTTTTGTTTTTTTTGAGACAGGGTCTCACTATTAGCCCAGGCTGCCCTTGAACTCGCAGCAATCCTCCTGCCTTAGCCTCCCAAGTGCTGGGATTACAGACATGCACAACCACACCCAGCATTTTTTTTTTTTTTATTTCTGTTTCTATGCATTTGTGAACTTTTCCAGAAGGAAAGGCCCATAACTGTTGCCAGATTCTCAAAAGGTTAAAAGCTCCTTTTCCAGGGAGGAGGGAGTGGGCCCCAACCCACTAGCACAGTCTCAGGCAGAGGATGACAGCGCACTGCCCTGACCCCGTTAGAGAGGTCTGCGGTGTGTGGAAGAGGCTGCCGCAGCACAGCAGCATCACGGCCAGGCCCCGAGGTCACATGATCCCTGTCCACAGCTGAAATTCACAACTCTGAAAACCCAGCCTCTGCAGCCAAAACTGACTCAGGGGAACCTGATTTGAAATGGCATGAGACTGATCTTCATTTATTTTACTTAGTGTGAATAGCTACTTTTTCACCACAAAAAGGTTTTTTGATTAAAGGGTGCTGTCTTAGTTCCAGCGCCTGTCTTGCAAGCTCAAGGTCCCGAGTTCGATCCCTGGTACCAAAAAAAAATGTATAGGGCCAGGGATTTACCTCAGTGGTTCCACCTGCCTCACAGCACAAGGTCCCGAGTTTGATCCCTGGTACCAAAAAAAAAAAAGGGTGCTGTCTTAGACCGTACTAGGAAAACTATGGAACACACACACACACACACACACACACACACTATATATATATATATATAAAAACAAGAGGCTAAGGCAGGAGGATTTCTTGAGCCCAGGAACTCAAGACCAGCCTGGGCCACATAGCAAGATCTCTCTGTCTCTCTGTCTCTCTCTCAAAAAAAAGTCTAGAACCACCTGGCCCAAGGATATACAGGTCTATAAACCACATTTTACATCAATTTAAGCTTTCATGAGACTACTGAAGACGGCAATTAGCATTTATAAAACTCTCTACAAGAAACGAACTGCATTTTGAGCTCTGAGTGCCTTATAATTTAGCTTTTTAAAATTGATTCCTGATTTATTTTTTCTGCAAATACCTACTGAGCCCCTTATGCAAGATACCTGTTCGTAAACCAAGAGCAACCCGTTAACAACCAAGAGCAACCCGGGGTCACTTACCACAGACTAGACTCCATCAGAGTGAGTGCCTGGCGGCTCTCGGGTCTCCTTCTCAGAAATCATTTTCAGTAAGTCCTATGCGCATGGTAACCCAGCTCTCGTGCCCCTGAGGCCCCTGCCCAGCCTGTGACAAACTGGAGACACAGATGAGTTTTCAGCTTTGTCCCTGAATGCTAAGCGCTTCCTCACTGGTTTCTTTCACTCTTCCCTTCCCATGCAGTTGTGCCTGCTGAAGTCACCTGCCCACTCTAGGGAGATATCGCTCTGCCCAAAGCCCAGAGGCTCCGTCCCTAGCCGGAGCGGCGCTCTCTCTTCAAGGGACCTTCCGTTTCCGCTTGGCTCTCCCGCATGTTAACTCCTGGGGATGGTGACACTGGGTTAGAACGGCCAGGGTGGAGCCAGGGTCCACCAGAGAACAGGAACCGCAGAGATTGCTTTCAATCCCATCTTAGAAAACTAACAAAAGCAAATTTTATGGCAGCAAAACTTTTCATAGAGAAAGAGCAAGAGAATGAAACGAGGATTTCGTGTGGTGGGGTTTTTGGTTTAGTCAAATTCTACAGATTTACTTAAATCCCAGTAGAGAGCAAGTAACATATTTCTGGAGTTTGCTTTTCGAGCGTTGTTTCCGTCTTTTGTAGAAAATGTACTTCCAGGGCTGGGGATTTAGCTCAGTGGTTCATCCGCCTGCCTCACAAGTGCAACGCCCCAAGTTCGATCCCCGATACCAAAAAAAAAAGAAAGAAAAGGTACTTACAGAATTTTTTCACCTACATACTCTGTGGATTAGAAAATTGCTTCCTTTGATGTGTTTTCTTTGTCAAGGCAATGCCAGCACAAATGAGTGTCATTCAGAACTTCGGCTGAGGGCCAGGGATTTAGCTCAGTGGTTCTGCTGCCTGCCTCGAAAGCGCAAGGTCCTGAGTTCAATCCCAAGTACCAAAAAAAGAACTTCAGCTGGCTCCGTTCAGTCTCTTGGGACCCGTTTTGCCCTGCTGTCCTTGGCCAGGTAGAGGTGGAAGCCCTTAGGTGATGTGGCAGCACCACCTTCTCTGACAGGGGACACGGACACTGCAGGGGACACACTGGGACAGGCCTTTCCTCTCAACCTCTTCCTTCCTCTAGTCCTTGGAGGAAGTGGGTGCATGGAGGAAGTGGGTCCACAGAGGAAGTGGGTCCACAGAGGAAGTGGGTCTATGGAGGAAGTGGGTCCAC